AACTATCATGCCATTTTGCGGACACTTATTACTTGCAGTTGCAATTCCGTGCTGAAAAAAAAAATCACAGAAAAACAAAGTGATAAAGAAAAGGATGCGCTATGGGTGGACAGATGACGGAAAATTAATAAATTTAATTATTTTAATAAATTCATTTATAATATTAAGTTTATCCAAATGCATCACCTTTACTCTACCGAAAAAAAAAAACATCATCCTTATCACTATACAGATGTACACGTATTAAAATGTTTACATTACACCTGTAGTTAGTTTTCGCCCCAACATTTTCCTCTGCATTTCAAATTAGAACAACTAGAACAAGATACTAAAGAGGAAAGAAAGTGAACCAATTTAAAACCAATTTTTTAGATGGAATATATAGCCTCTTGCACAGATGTAAAAAAAGTCATAAAATCCCAAAATGCCTGATGAAAGGAATACCAAGACTTCAAAAGCCTTCGACACCATGAAAATACTCCTAACATTTCAAGAAAACAAGAAACAACGATGATTTGATGCCCGAGAAAAAGCAAGAAGATGAAGGTACATGACAAATGACAGTAGCAGTGTCCTCGTTAATTAGTACTCCTCCGGTCCTTATTATAAGACCAATTTGACTTTTTATTTGGTCCTAATTATAAGACCCAATCCATTTTGTCTCTTATATTTATGCATTTTTTTTCCAAATAATCCTTCTAATAATGATAGTTTTCGCCAATATACTTAATTAGTAAGGATTTTAGGAATGACAACACTTATTTATTATAAATAACCAACTTAACTTACTTCCTTAATCTCCTCAAATAAGTCAATTGGGTCTTATAATTAGGACCGGAGGAGTACTATAAAGAGGAGTCTTTTAAACTTATATAATGGGTACAGGCATGGCAGGGGTATTTTGGGTCTATCCGACTATATCTATGAAGTATATGTATGAACTCTGTTCTTACCTCTCTTTTGAATCCGTTCTCACTATCATGTATGATGAAAAACAGTTTGTGGTTTTTATATTTATTAGAGAGGAAAAATTTAAAATGTCCTAATCGGCTCCAGACGGTTTATTTTATTTTCAGCCTTCTCTTATTTCAATATTTTTGTTATTTTCCTTTTAATGACCCAACTTAATTATTGGCCCATTTGTCATTGCATTTATAATTACTTATAAGTGTATTATTCTTCTTAGAATTAAAAATCTGCTTATAAACCATTCCAAACAGGTTTTATAGAATTGACTTCTCTTCTTTACCTTAATCCTTTTCTTCTTCCTTTTCCATTTTTATTGCCATTAAATATCGTTTTAACGGTTCAAATTCAATATTTTGTAGAACTATCATTATAAATTTATAAGAAAAATATATAAATGAATTCAAATTGTTGAAGTTTGATTTGAACAATCCATACATAAATTTTAAAAAAAAATTTTAATAATAATTTATTGTTGTAATCTAGTTACATCAAATTTTAACAATTTGTTCTGATTAAATTTTAATAGCTTAAATCTAAATAGTTAAGATCATAATTAATGGTGATGAGAATGAAAGGTAAAGGATAGGAAAACAAAAGAGTAAGATAAAGAAGAAACCAACCCCATTAATTACGTGGCAGATACTGAGGATAATTTCTCCATTATTAACCCCACTATTTCTTCCTTGCTTCGTAGTAATTAAGCAAAGCAGTGATAGAAAAATAATTAAAGAAGTAAAAGAAAAAAATATGGGAATGGCCATATTGATGAATAAAGTGTAAGATTTTGCCATACTGCCACCTTTTCAAAAGGCAAAGACATTATATTGACTCCATGAGACGATTTTGACCGCCATCAAAATTTTAGGATTCCAATATAAAGCCTAATATTTTTCATAAAAAGATATGAAAATAATGTGCACACAAAAAAATATACTTTCCATAAAAAGGCGACTGCTTCGTAGCTGCTTATGGCTCCATGCGGGGTATTTTCTTTCCCTTTCGGTATTGGCAGATGATATTTTCCCTTCCACCTTCATGGTAAGCATAATCAGAATAAAAAAAGAAGAAGAAGAAGTAGAACATAAAGTAAGGCCCTTTCCGATGTATCAAAAAAAAAAAAGAACATAGAGTAAGGAAATTAATATTCGGAAAAAAAATTCTTATTAACAATATTATCGGTAAAAAAGAATTAAATCAGACTGTGTACGAAATTTGCATAATGCTAGGAACTTTTCATGTATAAAAATATATTAAAGATATTGAAAGGAAAAACAAAGATAGAGTTTGGATGGAGGAGCCGGTTGATGAGAGAAGCTGACGGGAAAGAGAGACAGGAAAGATTGTTTTTTCACACATGATAAACTTAAAAAAAAAAAAAAAAACCAGCTTTATACACCAAAAGTATATGATCTTCGATTGGAATAATTTTCGATTAAAATGTTTTCATATGGCGCCAAAAAAAATAATTAATGGTCAAGGAAAAATTACAAAAAAAGCGGGGCCTAGACCTCGGGATGCATAGAAAGCAAAGGTCCCACACGTGCAAGAGTGAATGCTTTGTCAAGACGATTGTCAAGACTGACTATAAGGAAGAGAGAGAGAAGTCGCGTTGTGTTTTGTCATGTCAATGTCTTTAGGAAAAAATGTAATAAAATCCCACACAAATTTTTTCAAAATCATTAAATTATTCTGAAATTTAAAAAACTTTATTACAAGAGATTTATTTATTTAATTATTAAATTGTCTTTTTTTAAGTATGTATTCACAACTGAAAAGCAGTCGTTAACAACTTAAAGTGTAATAATTAACAACTATTGCGATAGATATAGACAACTCATACATTATATTTTGTAATGTGCTGAGAAGATGTGTTTTAATACTTGCTGTGATAATTGTTAATTGTTATAACTTTAGTTGTTAACAATTGCTTTTTTAGTTGTTAATGTATACTTAAAAAAAATAAAAATAATTTGGTAATTGAATAAATAAAATTTTTTACAATAAGGTTCCCTGGGATTTTAGAATAATTTGATATTTGAAGGACTTTTTTTGTATTGAATTGTTTTGAGTAGGATCTTATTATAATTTTTTATATATTTTTATTAGAGGTAAGATTGAAAAAAGGTGACCTTTATTTTATTAAGAGAACCATGATGAAATGCCAAATAATAAATATAATTACCAAAATTTTAATGATAAGTGAGCAGTTATTATTTTGCTCTAAAACTTGTCATCGCAAGTAGTACTGAGAATGCGGGCTTACCGAGCTTTGTAGGGCTGAAATTTCAGAAATGTCCTATTTTACGAGGCCCAATCCTCAACTAACGGGCTTAACACAGTCCGTGGGTTTTCGGTTTGTTTAAAAAAAATATAATTTTTTAATATTTCTCACATGTTTTATTAAAAAATAAAAATAAAGCAACAAAATTATTAAAAAAGGCATAAATATGAATAAAATCAATTACTAACACAAAACATTATCATATCTAAATATTTATCAATGTTTAAAATATCCATCAACAAGATAACAACATTCAAAAGTTCTTTCAACAATGCAAATATCTAATAGACAAACACTATTATCAATTTTTTGAAATTTCATCATCACTATCACCAATTGCTCTTCTTTATGAGTATGCTCATCTTTAGTGGCAAAAATATCAAATTTTTCTTCATGGAAATTTTATTTTTAAATTTTGTAATCTAGCTACTATTTTATTTTAGTTTGAGATACTATTTTTAAGTTAAATTATACAATCACAAGTTATATAAGTATAAAAATACTCTCTTATTAAATATATATAGTTTAAAAATACTAAAACATATAATATAAATTAAATTATTATTAAAGTCTAAATTAACCTAATTTTTTTAAAATTTAATTAAATAAATTATTATCCAAAACTAAATAAATCAAACCATTTTATAAAATTTAATTTCAAAATGATAATAATACCTAAATATTTAAAAATATCATTAACAATATAAAAATTAATAATATTAACATTATATAAAAAAAATTTAAAAACAAAAAATATAAAAGAGCTTAAAGCGGCAAGCCCTTAGCCTTACAGGGCCGACCCTTTTAAACTCTTTGCCTTACAAGGCCTGCCTTTTTGTGTCTGTTTTTCTTTTAAAGGGAAAAATTCTAAGCGAATAGGCCAGTCCCACGAGCTCGACTCGTTTTCCCAACTCTAATTACAAGCTGTTCTATTATTATTGAGACTTTTTAGTAATTATGTTCTTTATGTAAAACTTTATTGCTTTCTCTCTATTTTATTTGGTGCAATTTTATTTTTGATCTTTGAATGCAGCGGTAAAACTCCACACCAAAAAAAAAAAAGGTAAATCACATTACTAAAAATTGTACCATTAAAAAGGTTTGAGGGTAAAATTGCATTTTGGTCTAATAGAAAACGTAAAATATACTTTTTAAAACACTGAAAAATACTAAATTCTACGTGAAACGTACAAAATTATTTGAAGTAGCATAAAAAACATCATATAAATAAGTTTTAGTGTACGTTTATCGAAATGTCCTGAGTTATAGTGAGGATGGAAAGCCAAAAGAGAATTTAAAAAAAAAAAAAAAACCAGTCCCACTACAACCCCCCGGCATAAATAGTTAAATGCACTAATTTTAAAAATGAAAATGGCATTTTTAAAAAGGAATTCAAATAACTAGGATAATAACAACACTTCAAATCCCATGCCATGGCCGTAAAATGCTAATTAAGTGTCTTGATCTACTTAATAACATAATAATTTAGTTGACAAAAATACATATATTTCCATATATGTTACAAATCCTTTAGTTATTAAATGTATAGTTGAGGGAAAAAAAGATTTATAATAAAGTGTTGCCATAAGGCTAAACCCTTTAATTGACTCGAATTGAATGTAAATTTAACTTTTCGTAATTGAATCTTCCGAATTATTTTTGTATGGTGTACTAATTGAAATGAAATAGCCAACAACTAATTAACACAAGCTGCTCGTATGTGCTAGCATCAGAAACAAAAAAATTTTTTGGTCTCAAACTTGCATGTATTTCATTGACCTTCAACAAACACAAGACAAAACAGTGATCACAAATCACTTAAAATTACATAAATAGAATAACGGGCTATTACATTTAAAGCAGCAGATGATACACTCTCAACAAACAAGATACAAACAAAGAAAATAAGAAACATAAAAACCAACAACTCGTAACAAATTACAAGGCCACATTCTTAGGTAATTCATTCTTCAATTTGCACGACCTCTATTTCTCATCCTTTTGGCCTGTTTCTTGGATTGACCTCCAAAAGTCCTTACAAGCCATTGGGGTTTCCCAGTTGAGAACATAACATACCCCATGAGGATTCCAAATACCATTCCACATCCATATCCCCAAGCTACTGGTTTCCAGCCAAATCCAAATTTCTCATTAGTATCAAAGATTTGTGTTGGTAATTCTCCTTCATCCTTATTGCAAGATTTTGATAATGGAACACCACACAATGCTGAATTCCCCTCATATGAATCTCTTTGGAATGTATCAAACTGCTCACCTGTTGGTATCATCCCCTCGAGTTGATTTTGTGAAAGGTTCAGAATAGCAAGAAAGTTGAGATTCGTCAATGTCTTGGGAATCTCACCCTTAAGCTTGTTGCATGATAGATCCAACCATTCTAGACTAGTCAATTTTCCAATTGATTTTGGAATAGAACTAGAGATTCTATTATGTGAAAGATTAAGCCCTATTAGTGCATGTAGCTCTCCAATAGCTTTTGGAATCTCCCCATCAAATCTATTATTTGACAAGTCGACAGTGGTGAATATTGTCAATATCCTTGTCAGCTCTCTGGTATAACCTTTCCACGTGATCATCACTGAATCCTTATATCCTGAATAATTTTTACTTCCCATATATTGTGATCGAGCTTCAACATTATCTGTTTTCATCATTCCTTTGAACTGCTTGATGTACGTTGCTGGCAAATATCCATAAAAATGGTTGCTGGAAATGTCAAAGATCCTTAACTTCGGAAATGGATGCTTGGTCTTGGAACTAGAAATAGCCCCGTAAAACTTATTCTCTCTTAAAACAAGCACTTGTAACTCTGGCAAATCATCAAGCCAACCAGGAAAGGTATCCTTGATCTCATTATGTCCAACATCAAAAATTTCTACCCGAGTACAACGAGCCAAAGATGGAGGTAACGATCCCCTAAGTCGATTGCTATTGAAATGCAAAGTTTGCAAGGCACTATTCTTTGAAAAATTGTTTGGTAAAGTTCCAAAAAAATCATTCATTTGTAGATCTAGAACTGAGAGATTGGGAAGGCCAACAAGACATTGTGGGATAGGTCCTGATAGGTTATTATGAGACAAGTTGAGTATCTCAAGTGAGCTTGCATTGCAAAAGAGAAAGGAGATATTCCCACTAAATTTATTGTTTGAGACTGAAAAATAATTTGCTCCAAAGAATGGATTGGGGAGGCTTCCGTGCAACATGTTGAAGCTAAGATCAAGAAATGTGACACTTGTATTTAAAAGGGATGGGAAGCTTCCGTGCAACATGTTGAAGCTAAGATCAAGAATTGTGACACTTGTATTTAAAAGGGATGAAGGGACTTGACCACTGAAATTATTATTATTAAGTGCCAGATATTGTAATTCCCGAAGCTTTCCAAACACATCTGGTATTTCATCACTAAAATTATTCATCGAAAGATCTAAGTGGTAGAGATGTTCAAGGTTTGAAAGTGATGATGGGATTTGACCACTAAAACTATTATTGGAAAGAGTTAAGTAACTGAGATTTACGAGTGTTGAAAGGGATGAGAACCCACTACTAAATTTGTTGGAGGAAAGGTCTAAACTTCTCAGTTGAGTGAGATTCTTGAAGCTTGGAGGAATAGGCCCTTCAAATTGGCAATATGAAAGATCTAAGTCCTCAAGAGACTTCAAATGGCCTATGGAATCTGGTACTTCTCCAGAGAAAGGTGTGTCATGTAGACTCAGCATCACTAAAGGAGAGCTCCAGTTAAGCTTTGGAAGTTGAACCTGAATATTTCTATTCCCTCCCAAATATAGAACTTTAAGATTTTCCAAACAGAAAACAGCATCTGTCATATTACCTCGCAAAGAAGTGTTCCAAAGTGAAAGATAGACCAAAGAGGATGACAAATTCCTAAGTAAAGACAAGGAGTTTGGTGTAACAGAGGACATGTTCACATAATCTAAATCAAGCCTTCTTAAATCAGTTGTGTTTAGAATAAGCTTTTCCCAGGTACAGGGTTCAAGTCTTAGTGATGAACTCTTCGTCATGTCAAAATTGAAAGATAAGTCAAGTGAGACCAATTTAGACAGTTGCGAGATTTCAGACTGGATTTCACCAAAAAAATTATTTTCAGAAAGGCTTAACCATGTGAGGTGTTCTAGGTTTGAAAGGAATGAGATCTCACCACCAAACTTGTTTGAAGCAAGGTTCAAATAAGTCAGTTGAGTGAGATTGGTCAAACCAAGAGGAATCCGCCCTTCAAAATGACAGTTGTATAGATTCAAATGATTTAGATATTTCAAGTGGCCAATAGAATCAGGCAGTACTTTTCCTAAGAAAGTTATGCCACTGAGATCCAAAAGTGATAAGGGAGAGCTCCAATTGGACTTTGGAAGTTGACCATTGAGATTAATGTTACGTGACAAATCAAGTTGTTGAAGGCTTTCTAAGCCGAGAATGTCACTTCTAATATTCCCCTGCAACTCAGTATTAGAAAGTCTAAGAGAGACCAATGAGGATGACAAATTCATGAGCAAAGACAGGGAGTTTGGTGCAATGGAAGACAGATTCATGGAATCTAAAACAAGTTCTTGTAGACCAGTCATGTTTAGAACGAGCTTCTCCCATGTGGATGGTTCTAGTCTTAAACCTAACCATGACAAATCAAGAGAGACCAATTTAGACAATTCCGCAATTTGAGGAGGAATTTCACCAACAAAACCAGAATCGCTTAAGTTTAGATGCGTGAGAGTGGAAAGATCACCAAATTGAGATGATATCAAAGACCCACTAAAATTGTTGTAAGCCAAGTTGAGTGTTTGGAGATGAGAAAGTTGGAAGAGGCTATTGTTTGGATGGAGTTGACCTTGAAGCCAACTGCAACTAAGATCAAGGCCAATCACATGGCCTGATATGGAGTCGCACGTAATCCCATCCCACAAGCAACAATTTGAATCATTTCCCCATGAAGCTGTCTTTGGGTAAGATGAGTTCTTAAACAGAGGGGTAATGGGGTAGTCATCATAAAACTCATCACACCCTATTGAAGCAGACTGATCAACAGAGAAAGAGTTTTTGAATTGGAGAAGCATGGAGGAGTCATGAGGATTACAAAATGGGGGGTTGAGAGAAGAAGAAAGGGAGGGAGAAAGAAAGAAAAAGTAGAAATACATGATGAGTGAAAATGCCATGAGTGTAGTTAGAAGGCTATCAAGAAGCGAAAGATTGATATGAAGTTTAACAAAAGAGGCTATATTTATAATGGTACCTACATTACAAATGGCGTGATGCACATGCAAACTCAAGATTTTTATTATCAAATGAACCCCAAAACCAAAAATATAAGTTAGTAATTGTTCTTCAAGAAAAGGAAAAGCAATAGTTTTGGTCTACAGAGCCCACTTTTAGTTTATGCTCGAAACAAAAAGAAAAACATGGAACTTTGCTAATGTTTTCTTATTTGACTTGGTCCATACAGAAAAAATATAACGAACGAAGCTTGGTGGTTGTTTCTTAATGGACTTCGCTATTGATAGTTCTACAATATGGGAAGATATTGTAAACGAATTTGAAATGCTGGTCGCAGTTCTTTTTGTGTAATTGATACCTAAGAAGACTTGTCCTTATAATATGATGGGCATAAAAATATACCATAGAAATATCATCTCAGTCCATTCAAAATAAATGTATACATGGATTTTTTTTTTTTTAACATGACAGTCGGATAATCTATATTGGCAATATTAAAAGAAAAAAATCTTTAGAATTTCGATCAATATAGTAAGATGAGAAATTATAAATAAGAGAACTTAATTCATCATTATCATCAAAATAATTAAAAAAGTATAAATACAATTAAAATGTAAAATATATACATGTTAATTGTTAGTTGATGTTTATAATTTATGCCGACAAGAATTAGTCAAGAATTGACAAGTCATAATATAATTATAAATTTGATTACTACAAATTAAACATAATATAATAATTTTCTCCTCCAGAATTAAACAGAATCCACTGTTGAACGACCTATCAATAAACCAATAAGGACTGGCACTATCTTTTCCCACTCCTTTTGTAATTTTTGTTGAATTATTGACAATGTGCCGTAAATAAAGGTTTGCAGGGTCATGTAATAAAGAACTTTCAAAAATGGTCCCATTGTAACAAATTCTATTGACCACATGTATGTGATGGTGGGTAGGAAAAAAAATAATTAGATGCACAAAAAAATACTTTACAGTACTCAAAGCATTTGCAAAAATGTTTGGGAATACTAGATACACTTAAGAATATTTCAGGATGTTGGATCTATCTTAACCCTAACTTTATACAAAGAAAACTTATAACCTAAATATGTATTATTGTTACAGACTCCTCATTAGTCGATGGAAATTAATAGTAATTAGTGAGCAGGAGTTTCTCTAGTTTTAACAAACCTTAGAAAATTTCTTCTTAAAAGCATTTCTTCTCCATCAAAACTTAGAAATATTCATTGTAATTTATTTGAAAGAAAATTTTTTGAATTAATAATCTAACGTGAATAACGGGTTACAGCGACGCGAGGAGAACTTCTGCCACTTGGAAAAAGTTGGAAAAGTTCCAACTTTTACTTGAAAGTTGGAAAAGTTGGTTGTCATTTACTTAAAAGGGCCCGGTTTTAATAAAATTTACGGACCACATATTTCGTGTGATAGGCAAACAAACGCAAAGACTTTTTGCTCATAATTAGACTAACATCACATATAAAATAATTATCATCGATATAAACAATTGAATTTGTTTGCGTAATTTCTAGTAAAAAACAAAAGAACTTGTTTGCATAATAGGAAAATCTACAGGAAGTTTCAAAGTGATTTTACACCGGTTTAGGGAACCAAACCAAATTGATGGTATTGATCTCTCTACAACTATCTATATTTACATGTCTTAACTGTTTCAGAAAAACTAAAAGATAATTGAATACCAACCAATGAAAATTGAAAGGACAAATGACCAAAACAATAACTCTTAAATTTTAAAAAGACAAATAAATCACGTTAATTACTTACATAATTGGAAATGTGGATAATAACGTGAATACCAACCATTGAAAATTTAGATAACTCAAATTAAATAGAGGTATAGCTGTAAATAACTGTACGTAAGGAAGACTCTTATTTATTTAACTTGGACGCCTGCTTTATAACTATAGGGTCAGTTCTTACAATATTTTTTCCTCTATTTTATTACTTTAATGACTAAAAAATAGGTAAAATTCAGTGGACTATGCACAGAAAGCTAATAGATAAGAGATAGATTGATCCCACAATTTTCTTCCCCCACCCCTCTCATGACCAGTAGACCCTAAATTTAAATATTCGTCAATTAATTCAGATAATTAACATATATTGCTTTCGGTCATTAACTAATTCAGATAAATTAAGAAAGTTAAATAGATAAGTTAATTATATGAAATATTACACAACCTCCCTAAAATACCTCTTTATGACATGAGATTATACATTGGTTTATATGTTAGGTAATTTGGTTTGGAGAAAAAAATAAAAGACAAAATAAGTTAAAATTTTATATTTAAAATAAAAACTAACTCTTAAATTAGTTCTTCTATTAATATTCGGGGGAGAACTTTCTTGTATATGTCTTTAGATTGGGTGCAAATTTTCCACATTTGTTTTGTTTGTTGAATTCTAACTCTGTAAGTGAATGAAGGTTTGATGTGGCATGAATGAAGGTTTGCAGAGTCATATTATGATGAATTTTCAAAATGGGTCTCATATTAATAAATGGAAAAATTAATTTGTCCATCCTCATAGTATTATTAAATTTTGAATCGGGTCCCTGCAGTTTTTTTTTCTTTTTATTTCATCCTCACTGTTTACTCCGTTATTCATGCTAATCCTTTCGTTTACCAAGTGCATGCATGCCGTTAGTTGGAGCATGAGAGATCCTATGACAATCTAACTTAGGGAAAAACACTGATATGGTAGGAAAAAGAGTTTTTTTCCCCAAAAAGAATTTTGCAGAAACACCAAGCATCATAAACTACTTATATAATAATTTTTACTATTCTTGTAATAGTTTTGACATGTTAGAATCACCTCTTTATCATTTTGAAATTCAACTGGCATTTTTTGTCATTGTCCAAAATTTTAAATAGGGTTAAGAAGTAAATGTACTCATAAAATATTCCTCTGAGAGCACCAAATATCATAAGTTTTTTCTAGGCACACAAGTGCACATGAAGTTTTTAAAATGATGTAAAAATATCATAACCATCAAGTCAACTAACCTTAATTTTTACCAAACATGCATGTCAAAAAATGGTGCAAAAATACTTATAAAGTTTCCAAAATAGTGCAAAAACGCAATGGTTCATGAAAACTACATGTATATTTTTACATTATTTTGAAAACTTCATGCGCACTTTTTCACCATTTTGTCAATTGAATTATCAGTTAAATAGTTAATATTAGTTGACTTAACAGTCGTGATATTTTTGTACCACTTTGAAAATTTCATTTGTATTTTTGCACCTAAAAAAAAATTTATGGTATTTGATGCTCCAAAAGGAATATTTCATGAGTAAATCTATATCTTAACCCTATTTAAAATTTTCACAATGACAAAAACGCCAGTTGAATTTTAAAATGATAAAGAGGTGATTTTAACATGCCAAAACTATTGCAAGAATAGTAAAAATTATTATATAAGTAGTTTATGGTGTTTGGTGCTTCCGCAAAATTTCTTTTAAGTTAGATTTACACTTTAATCATTTAAATATCTCTCTATATATAGCTGTAAATAATTATAAAGAAGACTCGTTTGTTTTTATTTGGCTTAAAATTAATGTAGCAGGACTAAGATCAATCCTTAAAATTCTTAAAATGCAGTGGAAATAATTTCTTTTTTTTTTTTTTGGGTTACAAGTGGAAATTTCATCTGAAGATGAAACGCCGTGCGAGGAGTGCCAATAGGCCAACATAAATTGGCCCCCCACCTCTTTTCCTTTTCTTTTTGACCAATAGACCCCAAAACTTAGTACTTGGCAACTAAGATTGCTATTTATTATGAAAAATTCCAATAGTTTAACATTTCAAAATAGAACAGTCCATTCTACATGTATATATCCTGAACATCTTTATCACAGTTGTAGATATATTATTAATTTTTGCGTGTCCTAGATTAGGTGCCAATTATTCAGTTTTTTTTGGCAGAATGCGAAACTCAATAACCTTCTAAGAAAATAGTAATTTGCATTACAGGCTCAAATAGCAGGAGTTTCTTTAGATTTAACAAAACTCAGAAAATTTCTTCTTGAAAAAATTTAATAACGTCAATACACTGAAAATGTAAAGAAAATAGTTTCTTTAGATTATTTCAGCGCGCACACACTGAAAATCAATTGGAAATGTGGATAATAACATGAATACCAACCATTGAAAATTTAGATAACTCAAATTAAATATATACATAGCTGGCTAGCTGCAAATAACTACACATAAAGAAGACTCACTTTTATTTATTTGACTTGGACGCATGCTTTATGACTATAGGGTTAGCTCTTTATAATATTTTTTTCTCTATTTTATCACTTTAATGACCAAAAATATAGGTAAAATTCAGTGGACCGTGCACGGAAAGCTAATAGATAAGAGATAGATTGATCCCACAATTTTCTTCCCCCAGCCCCCTCATGACCGGTAGACCCTAAATTTAAATATTCGTCAAATAAGACTATTTACCCCAAAAAAATTTCAAGAGATCAACATTATTTTAAAATAAAATTATATCATATATATATATAACATAAAATCTTTCTTGCTTTCGGTCACTCATTTATGAGCTACATAACTAATTCAGATAAAGTAAGAAAGTTAAATAGATAAGTTAATTATATAAAATATTATATGACCTTCTTAAAATACCTCTTTATGACATGAGATTATACATTAGTTTATACGTTAGATAATTTAGTTTAAAAAAATAAAAAAAAAGTTAAAACCTTATATTTAGGATAAAAACTAACCCTTAAATTAGCTCTTCTATTAACATTAGTATTGGGGGAGAACTTTCCTGCATATGTGTTTAGATTGGGTGCAAAATTACCAAACACCCCATTCTCTGATTAACTTATTGACAAGTTTTGGCCAAGAATCAAAATGTCTGGAGAACTTCTTTCAAAACATCA